ATGGCGGTGGTGGTGGTGATGATGACTGCTGGGTCTGTGGCAGAATAAAAGTTTCCCGGCAAGAAATCTACCCCAATCGAGACTCAAGTCGGGTCGGTGCCTTGCGGCCCTCGCTTATAAGTTACGTCTAGCTATCTGGTAGTGCTATCAATTTCGACATCAAGACGATGCAAGGCTGCCGAAAGTCCTGTAGCAAGATCTACCAGGCCACCAAGCATGTCCTTGGAAAGCTTGACAGCGACTTTGTTCCTCGTGAGAGCAGCGCTTTGATGGGAACCGAGAGTCTTGCGAGAGATGAATCTTGATGAAGATGGAGACTGCTGCAAAACAAAAGAACCAGGCACTTGGAGAGTATAGGTTCTCACTGTGACCCAGATCAGTTACCGGCATTTATATGACGAATTGTTCGACATGTACATTGAGAATTCCAAGTCCATATCTCAGATGAAACACCCAAAGAAGCTCGTTTGGCCTTGGACACACTCTGTACTAAATAGACTTGAATCCGGTTTGCGACTCGTGTCTCCATTCATGCCCTTCGTGACCGAAGAGCGTTGGCAGCGGCTACCACGCAGTCCAGGCGACAACACATGATCCATCATGATCCAACGTCTAAAGTGGCCCATGAGCTTGTGCTGGGCTGCTCGGAAGCGCGCTCTTGGCGGACTACGCCGCTCAGTAGCAAGGCAGAGCTAAGCAAAGTACAGGAGAAAGATGCCGCTGATGCTATGCAGTTAGCTCACGGCAGGAAGCGGCATGCTGAGACCAAATTGCGGGCATTACAAGAGACCGTTGCCATGTCTGACAAAGATGAGGGTTTAGGTTGGGCGCGGCTTTGCTGGCTGGCAGTATTTATATAGTAGACATACTCATATTATACTCGGCAAATGGCCTCTTGGATTGGCACATGACCCTTGTTCGATTTTATACTAGGGTCTCTGACTGGACCGGAAGACGAGCTTCGGCCACCAGAGATTTACGCCGGCCACATACTCCGACCTCCATGGAACATCGGCCAGAATAGTCCGTCTTGCCCGGAAGAGTCGGGACGGCAGCGGGCGATTGGACGCCACGGACGCCTCCCGACACCTTCTAGGCCTGTAGTCAAGAAATCAAGTCTTCCAGTGCCGTGACAGGCTCTCTAGCTAGCCAGCCCTCAATATTGTAGATACTGATAGCTACCGGAGCTGCAGGTGACTACCTAGGTCCTGATGATATGGGCCAAAGCCGTAGTGCCCACTGCGTAATGGCAAATCCGCAAGTTAAATCATGATTGCAGACTTCAGTAAAGCCTTTCAAGGCTCTCCCCGTCGTCATTGCAGCGACAGTCTCATCGCACACCTCCTCTCCGCCGGCAACCCATCTCTGACCTCGTCATCCAACACCTTTCTCAGCGCGGCCGTCACTTCGCCGTCGTCCAGTGTCACAAATCCTATTGACTTGTAAAATTTCTCGTTCCACGGGACGTTGCGAAATGTAGTCAGTGTCACAAACGGAAGCTGTTGCTCGACTGCCCACTTCTTTGCCTGGGCCATCAGGGCTCGACCGATGCCCTTTCCCTGATGGTCTTTGTCCACTGACATTTCCCAGATGTGCAGGTTGCCGTCGAGGATTTCGCCGTTGAGGAAACCAACTGGGACCTCTCCCGGGGTTAGGCCAGCGTCAACCGCCACCCAGGCGACGCCCTGCGCAATGAGGGTGAGGTGGCGCTCTACCGATTGGCCGGAGTCGTCGGCGATCCATGCGAGATCCTGGATCTGGCGAAAAGCTTGGCCGGCAGATCGCTCTACAGCGGGGAGCAGAGGCGCATCGGCGCGAGTCGCCGGGCGCACGGTAAGCATGCTTGGTGGTGGTTCTCGGCGACGCTGCGTCCCGTGGGGAGACGAAGGGGGAAACAGACAGATGTGGTGCAGATTGGATGGCTGAATTGTTTTTCTGCACGTGCCTGGCCTGGCCAAGTTGCATTGATGCGCGTGCTTGCATATCTTGCGCTTGGCGGCAACTGCGGCGGCTAGCGGGAAGCCTGAATCGCGGCGGAGCAAAACCGAGCTGGTTCGCAATATCTGGCCAGCACCTCATGGCCAGGGGCCCGGATCAAGGAGCCGGTGCTTCCAGCTGTCTGACCCGGAGGCGGGCTGTGCAAGCTGTGCAAGCTCAAGCTTCCTCGGCCTGGCCATGATAAATCTGCACATGGACAAGCCATCTCACAGTCTCACTTGACCCCTTGCTGCGTACTTGGAAGCTCGAAAACCGCACACTCCTCAGTTTGAGGTGTCGGTTGCAGTCCGCACATGGCCCGCCAACGCTTCTTTGCTACGCGGCTCTGCTATCTGAACGTTTTTCTAGCCATTGCTTCGCGGTGCCTGCTGGTGCTTTCAGAGCCGATACTCCAAAAGTCGACCTCGTCGATCCTCGCCGGGCCAAACCGCACCGTGCCGGATTATGTCAAGCGCTACGGTACGAGTCCACCTGATTATGAGCCAGGGCAACATTGAATGTCTCAATCAGGGCTCGGATGCTGTTGCCCTCTGCCCTTGCTTCCTTACGTTTGAATCGAGGCTAACAATTGCAATCCGTGAAAACAGCGCCGCTTGTCTGGTTACACTCGGAGGACCCGTTCCGGCCCGCAGACCTTCTCCAACATATCCGTCACACAACGCCCACGGCTAATCAAGAGCCCATCCCTGACCTGCCAGATCTCGACCTGAATAACCTCGCTCTGCTGAACAACGTGAGCAGCGGGCAGGTTGCCCTGACGTCCAATGACGACGTCACAGCTTTGCCTGACTGGCTCCTCGGCCAACTCCCCGATGCGTCGGGCAGGATCGTCAACGCTACCCCTTGCGTTGTGATTCTTGTTGAACAGAGCCCCCGAGACGTCGATGCCTTCTTCTTCTACTTTTACTCGTACGACCGAGGCGCGAATATCACACAGGTATTGGAGCCGCTTAACCGCTTAATAGAGGACACTGAGCACGGGATGCATTTCGGAGATCATGTCGGGGACTGGTGAGCTTGCTTTGTGTCTATAATACTCCACGAGTTGTTCTGATGAGTCGTTCTAAAGGGAGCATAACATGGTCCGTTTCCGCGACGGCAAGCCCAGTGGCATCTACTACAGTCAACACTCGGGCGGCGCTGCGTATGACTGGGATCATGCAGACCTTTCCATGAAGGACGGGCGGGTGCGTAAACCGTGACAGCCTGCAAGCCTGACGGATCTCGTCTAACTGAATTCTGTAGCCTCTTGTCTTTAGCGCATACGGCTCGCACGCAAACTACGCATCATCCGGGTTGGTGGCACTCCCTCTCCGCGGCCCAAGGCTATTTACTCCCCATCTCTCTGGCACCGCCTAGCTCTAATCATTCCCGTGTAGTGATCAAATTCACGATACAGTACTGGTGGATTACTGCGATGCCGGCCAACTCTGGGACCCGACCCTCTCGGCGTATTTCTACCACCTCGAACCTACCAATTTCACTTTAACGCGTCTATTTCCTTCCGCGACGGCGCTCCCCGCCACGCCGGATCTCACCTCTTTCTTCTACTTCACCGGCATCTGGGGCGATGCCCAATATCCAGATGATCATCCTCTCCAAAAGACCGTGCCCTACTTTGGCCTCAAGCGCTTTGTATCCGGGCCACAGGGCCCGATTGTGAAGCAGCTCGTGCGCAAGGGACTGTTTCCCGACCAACGCGAGAGGAAGCCGTGGCTACAGTGGGCTGTGGGCATCTTCATGTCATGGTACCCTTGCTGTATACGCGGATGGAGGAAATGGGTATCTTGTACAGCGGTTATAGGACTTGTGGTATTGGTGGCATTGGGGGTCAGGCACACGGTGAAAAGTTATAGAAGGAAAGGATACAAAAGGATAGAGTCGGACATACCCTTAGAGGACTTGAGTGAACGTCAAAGATTATAGATTTTCTGCATCACACGCCAGCTAGCCTAAAGTAATAAGGTAAATACTGTCGATCCCTTAGAGTGCACGTCCCAACTGCCGCTTGCAAACGTACACGGCGGCTACGGGTGACGAAGCCAGCTTAGGGACTAGAGGGGGGGCGATGTTTCGGGTGACGATCACAGGGTACGACATAATCCATCTGGTGTGTTTCTGCATCTGTCGAACGGTTCGTCTCGTCACCGACTTGATAAACAGCGGCTGGTTGCATGACACGCATACCGCATGCCAGACGAATGAGTTCGCTGGCGAACTGAAGCAGGTACTCGTCATTGCCGAGTTGAAGCTATTTGACTGCCGTCATGTGTTCAGCGCGCCAAGTAATAGAGGCAAGAACGCTGTTTGGCTATCTGGTAGCAGGATATCATGACGGTTGGAAGGCGAATCTCGTCTTGGCATGATACTTTGCCTGCTTGCATAGCGGATAACGCAAGCAATAGCGCTCACGACGAGGTCTCTGCGTCTTCCGGACTCGACGATGAATCGCCACAAAGCCGCATGATCCTGACCGAGTCACTACTGGGGACATCGTGTCTAGTCGTCAGTTTTCGAGCGTCAATGCATACCGAACGCACCATTTTAAAATGTCACTCCACGAGATCGTCACAGACGCAGCCCGAGGTCGCTGCTGGTGTAGGTGCCTCTGGTCTCGACGATCACAGCATGTGTCCAGGCGAGGTGCATGAAGCAACTAAACGCCAACCTAGAGTATACCAGCGTCTACCGGCTCGCGAAGCTTGTATAAATGACTGGCTTTCACGTCACGGAACGAGATGAGAGTACCTAGGTAGTTGCGGCGCCCACGCTTTGCCGGCCAAGAGGTGGTCGCCTGGTACTCGGCCAATCCGTTAGCATGCACAATTGTACAATGTTGAGTGCTGCTCCTTGTATATAGGCCGCGTTAACCAAGCACAAGAGGTTTCAATGCGCAATTTGCAAGCTGCGCCAATCAATTCTAAAGGGTCAACCTATACAGTGCATTATGTACACGGTTCGCGTGGAACAGCATTCCGCTCGCCTTTACTACTGTGCCCCTTTTACTGCTTCTTCTCCTGCTCCTCCATGAACTTCCTGTAACCATGGTTAGCCACTGGGTCTGGGCCGCCCGGACGAAATAACGCACTTGATGAAGTCGGCCTCGTCGGAGCTGGAGGCATTGATCGGGGGAGTCGCCGCAGCGGCGGGTTTCTTGGGGCCAGAGGTGGCATAGTAGACGCCGCCGAAAAGGCTTCCGAGGATGCCCATGGCCAGCTGTGAGCCAGGTTAGTTCAACGGTTCCACGTCGACGATGCTCAGAGTCGTAGGTTTGGGGGAAAGCGAACGTAGTGACCGCCGACCTGTCGGCCAGCAATGTTGTAGGTAGCAACACCGGCCATTGTGACTAAGAATTGCGTGATGAGAGGTTGAGTGGCGCGAATTGGGGATGGTGAGCAGTAATAGTAGATCAATTGGTGAGTTGCGTTCCAAGGATTTGGCTGAAAACAATTCGGGAGTCGGTTAAATGCCGGCTACGTGGCAGCTGTATCGGCGGCACGGAGTACGGACTACTAGTGGGAAATGATACATACGACGTCACCAGAATCCATGGGGCCAGCCTCGCGGGTGATCCCGGTCGCACCTCTCCATTGACAACCACCAAACTCGACGTGTGGGAGAGTTGCAAGAGTCGAATTTCTGCCCGGAAGCTTGTGCGAAACAAAATCTTGTCACCTCAACGCAGTGCGAATTCCATTCCAGCTTCCGTTATGCCTTGGTGGGGAAAACCAAAGGAGCCCAAGGAGCCCAAAGCTGAGCCATCGCCGGACGCCAACGCCGAGCAGCAGAAGCAGGCTTTCGACCCGGACAAGCTTCCAGCACGGGAAAAGCTGCCCAGGCGACTTCAAAACATCGTTGAAAAGTCGGATCAGGACAGCCGGTTTTTCGACGATGTTATCGATGGATAGTAAGCACTCCGCGTCCGACCTTCTTGCCACCATGTACATGCTAATTCAGTCTATAGTGCCCCGCCTACTACCGACACCAAGCTGCGATATGCTGCCTACGCGAGCAGGTTTCGAACCATTCTCCTCTCTGCGCATCGCTACGTTGCCTATACATCCGATATTGGAGAATCATTCCGGCCCGTAGCACATCCGCGAGTCGTCCGTGCCGCATACGGTATCTCTTGGCTCTATATTCTCGGAGATGTGTCCCATGAGGGGTACCGGGCATATTGGCATAACCAGCGCGTGCTGAACCCGCAGCTTCGCCTGTCGCCTCACCAGGAGAAAGTCACCGGGCTACCAGCCGAGGACAACGTAAACCTTCAACCCGGTGTCGTTAGTCCCTTGGAAGACTGGCGAACCGTCATGGTCCAAAGAGCAATCTTCCAAAGCATTGCCAGTATGGGGCTTCCCGCATTCACCATCCACAGTGTCGTTAGGTATTCCGGGAGAGCTCTGAAGAATGCCAAGAACGCCACTATTCGCACCTGGGGACCTATCGGCCTGGGCTTGTCTGTTGTTCCCTTCCTGCCGCGGCTCTTTGACGAGCCGGTTGAAAACGCCGTGGAGTGGGTGTTCCATAAGGGTTTTGAGGTTGTTGGCGGCCAGAAGTATGTGGGATCCGCGCCGTCTACAGGGCGGGAGGATATGCTCAACAAACCGATCAAGCCGAAGACGGAATGATGCAACGAGTCTACGATTAATGCGGGCTCCTTTTTGGCTTTTTGGCGCTTGGTAGGATGCGCGTGCTCAACTCCTTCATGCTGCGCTATACAAAATTATTGTACATATACTGTAGTTGAATTGACCCAACCATGATGCATGCCTGATTTGATGGACCCTGGTACCAGAATAGTTTTGTTTGTGGTTGTAAACTCGTGGATAGGGTAGTGAGCAGCTGCAGTTCGAGAAATACGTATCCTCGCCCGACCTGCACGGAATGCAAACCCGCGTAGTAGCGTTAAATGGATGTTGTAAACTTGTAAATACTCGAGTCATATTTTTTATTCATTCGCCGACGCTACTGATATCGCTGCCAACCCCGATTTGGAGTCAAAGCTTTTGGTGGTTGAGGCGCATGCTCCAGTACGTAAGCGCGGCTTGGCCTGTCGCGGCTTCCAGAGGCTTCTTTCGCCGCTGGACCTCAGCTTTAGTCAACTTGACATTACGTTCAGAACAATGAACTTTCTGCCGCCACCAGTCTAGAGCCTTGACGACGCTCTATTCTGCCTGGCCACGCATCACCTAAGCTTTCTTTTTCTGTATATATATTCTGATTATTTCTCCCCTGCCATCATGTCGTCACCGTCGGGTTCCGCTGCTCAGGAAACGAGCTACATCATGAGAGACAAAGCCGACGCTACGCTAGTCGGCAAGCATTGCCAATACGAATACTGCAACCAACTCGACTTTTTGCCCTTTCTTTGCCAGTCCTGCACCAAGACCTTTTGTTTAGATCATAGAACAGAGTCGTCACACAAATGCGCGAACCCCGGAGCATGGGCAGAGCGGAAGAGGCAGGCCAACTTGGCCAAGCCTTCCATTGGCCAAGGGAGGACTCTACGTGACAAGGTATCCGAAAAGCCTTGCTCGTCGCCAGAATGCAAGACTGTTGTCGGAACGTCTCTGACCCCCGGAGTGCACTGCGATTCTTGCAATCGCGATTACTGCTTGAAGCATCGGTTAAAGGAGGATCACAACTGCAAGAACTTGGTGCCTATTGGAGCCCGACCTATGCAAATCGATGTCGCGCAAAAGACTCGATCAGCACTTGACAGGCTGAGGGCTTGGGGATCGGCCAAGAAGGAACAGGCGGGGAGAGCGCTGCCGAAACCGAAACCTAGCTCTGCTGCTGCTCGAATAGTGGCCACAAAGAAGCTCAAGGAGACCGCCAAGGGCGACAAGAAAGTCGCAGAGGAGAAGCGCATCTATCTGTATGTTGAGGCTGAGGCAGAAACTGCCAAGGCCAAACTGCCCAAGGGCGACTTCTTCTTCTCCAAGGACTGGGTTGTTGGCCGCCTACTAGACCAGGCTGCGACTGGTTTACAAGTCCAAAATGTGAACAACCAGAGCTCCGAAGAGAAGGATAAATTGCGTGTATTTCATGTGGAAGGAGGGAGAATTCTAGATTACGGCGAAAAGATCGGGGCGGCATTGCAGAGCGGGAACACTGTTATTTTGTTGAGGGGGGTTGGAGCACCGGCGGACTTGATAGAAATGTGAGGGCCATTTGGTGAAATGACATGATGCTGCGGGAGGGTTTGAAGAGGAGCGATACCCAGAGCTAGTTTGTACATGCTATTTATCACAGGATAGTTTATTATTAGAATATCTGATATGGCCGACGAAATGATGACAATGCCTGGCACACTGTCTGCGCAAGCTTAATTGTATCACGTGTTCTCGTGATTTAGCGCGAACCATGACGGAATGACGGATTGCATCTGCTTCGTGTGAAATCGTATCCCCATCTCTCATACTCACTTTCCAGCCTCAGAATGCATTTCTTTGGAAACGCGCATCGAAATGCCTCCTCATGTTCCTCGCAAGCGATTGCGTGGGTCACCTGGTAGAGAGGATTTCAAATCTGGAGCGGGCGCAAAGCAAACGGCCAAGCCCAGCAAGCGAAAGCTTACGCTGTACGATGACTTGGATGCGGCCGCGACGCCGGCCTCGGCCAAGACCTCTGAATCCCTATTCCAGAGTTTTGGTGATGATTCCGATAGCTCCTTATCTTCGTTTTCCGACGAGGATTTCGAGGATGTGCCCCTTGCAAAGCGACCCAAGGTCAATCCAAATGTCTCCGATGACGATGACGATGACGAAGACTTCGAATTCGAAGATGTCGAGGCTCCGGCTCCATCCAATTCCATCGTTCCAGTTGTATCCGGAGACCTTGAGCTAACCCTGAATAAAGACACCAGACTGTCACTGACAAACGTCTTTGGGGACAAGAAAGGGCCGTCAAAACGTGAGCGAAAAGTGCGGAATGCCACGCATTGTCTTCATGTTCTTTCCCTCCTTTGGCACAACGCTGTACGAAATTCGTGGTTATGTGATCCTGAAGTACAGGGAATAATGATTTCTCATCTGCCGCCTAAGATGTGGGATGAGGTAGAACGTTGGAGGCAAAACTCGGGCCTCACCAAACAACCCTCTAAACCAGGGTCCTCAACCGGCAGAGCCAAGAATAGCGCAAAACTCAAAAGAAAAGAGCGGGAATCCCGTGATTGGGGAAATGCCGCAAGACGACTAGAAGAAGGAGCCATTGATATGAGCCATGGCGATCCTCTGTTCAGATTAATGCAATCCTTGACTTCTTGGTGGAAACAACGATTCAAGATCACAGCTCCTGGGCTAAGGAAATGGGGCTACATGGCATTGGAGAGGCTGGACAGGTTAACAAAGGCATATAAAGATGAATATGCTGACTGCAATCGCTTTGGAGAAAGAATAGCAAGCCTAGATGAGTTTCGGCAGTGTGCGATGAAATGCGAAGGAAGCAGGGATGTCGGAGCGCAGTTATTCACTGGGCTACTGCGAGGTCTTGGGCTCGAGGCCAGAATGGTTGCCAGCTTACAACCCTTGGGCTTTGGCTGGAACCGCTTGGAGGACGCGGAATTAGAGCCTGAGCTGGCAGAGCTGGATATGAAAGTTGCAAAACTTGCAAAGACCACGGCCGAAAGCAGCGTAAAAAAAACGAACAAAACAAAAGATAAATCTGCAGCAACTCGTTCGAAGCGACAGCAATCAACCCGTGCTGCCGCCGCTGTCGAGACCTCCTCACACGAAATGGATGATTTGCAAAGAGAGTATACTGACACAGACGATGAATCGGTTGTGGCAGTGCAGGTAACCCCCAAAAAGTCCAAATCACCCGTCAGCAAATTTGATTCAGATTTGGAATATCCCCATTGCTGGGCAGAGGTTCTGTCTCCAGTAACGAACAAATACCTGTCCGTGGACCCAATTGTGAAGAGCCTCATCGCTACGAATCGAGAAATCACCGAAGCGTTTGAGCCCCGGGGTCAAAAGGCAGAGAAAGCTCGGCAGGTCACAGCTTATATTGTCGGATACTCTCCTGATGGGACGGCAAAGGACGTGACAGTCAGGTACCTGAAGAGGCAAGTGGTTCCTGGCAGGACAAAGGGTGTGCGAATGCCCATAGAAAAGGTGCCAATTTACAACCGCCATGGAAAAGTGAAGCGTTACGAAGAGTTTGACTGGTTCAAGTCTGCCATGTCGGGATACAGGAGAGGAACAAAAGCTCATCCAATCACCGAAATAGATGACGATGAAGATTCAAACGACTTGAAGCCGGCAAGGCCAGAAAAGAAGGAGGTAAAAGAAGGTGAAGAGACTCTTCAGTATTACAAACAATCGAAAGAATTCGTCCTTGAAAGACACTTGAAGCGGGAAGAGGCTTTGAAACGAGGCGCTGTACCCGTGAAAAAATTCAAGAATAAGGCCAAGGGGGCCAAGACGGAGGAGGAAGATGTTTACCTGCGATCAGATGTTCTTCAGGTCAAGAGTGCAGAGACTTGGCACAAGCAGGGGCGCGCTCCTCTTGCGGGAGAGCAGCCGCTGAAGCGAGTTCCATACCGCGCAGCAACAACCAATCGACGGAGAGAAATTCTCGAGGCCGAGGCTGCCACTGGGCAAAAGGTTTTGCAAGGGCTGTATAGTTATGAGCAGACGGATTGGATTATTCCACCTCCTATCAAGGACGGCATTATTCCGAAAAACGAATACGGGTAGGTTATAATCATTTGCAACACTCCGGATACGTTTGTCCTAACCAATTTCCAGGAACATCGATCTCTTCGTCGAGCACATGCTACCCGAAGGCGCCGCGCATGTTCCATTCAGAGGCGCGATGAAGGTATGCAAACGACTCAAGATTGACTATGCAGAGGCTGTTGTCGACTTTGAGTTTGGACATCGAATGGCTGTTCCCGTTATTCAAGGCGTTGTTATTGCAGAGGAGTATCACGACGAAGTCATGGCTGAGCTTGAAAAGGACGAGGCAGAGCGCAGGAGAAAGGAGGATGAGAAACGGCGCAAAGCCGCTTTAGGGCAGTGGCGGAAATTCATCATGGGGCTGCGAATCGTCGAGAGGATACGACAGGAGTACGGCGAGGTCGATGAGAGTGTGTCAGTATTCGGGCACAGTAAAGATGTTGCCTCGAAACCCCATGCACATGCTGCTGCGGCTGCAACTCAACACGAGGACATGGCCGGCGGGTTTCTTCCAGAAGGTTATGAGGAAGAACATGAAGAAGAGCACCATCATACATCGAGTTTCTTTCCAGTTGGGGATGACGAGGATGACGCTGGCGACGATGCGGGCTTGACTATTGAACATCACTGAAATTGGTCCAGTTGGAGACATGTTGGAACGTGTAAAATTGCTCCAAAGGAACCACTGGATCCTCGACTCATATACCCATGAATCGAATTAAGGCTTATTTGTAAAAATACAGTTATTAGTATGATGTAATGCAATCCGACTACAGCTCCTGTGGATCAAACAAAATTCAGCGCAAGCCCGTGCCAGCCTGCGCAACAGCACGACATTTTTTCCCTCTCGCAGGCCTTTCGCAGTTCGCAATCACCGTCCCCTTCCAAACATTTCATGCCACTTGCCTCTGCTTCCCGTGTCCGCAAGCTTATCCCGTCTCGCA